ATTAACTGTGTTTAGGAAAATTGATTGTACAACAGAGATGTCTATATTGTGCAATGTTTTCAATATCTTCTGAAACTTAGTTTCAATCAGTTAAAAAGCCAAGAAACAAAATGATTAATTTTTAATACTGGGTCATTGATGGACATTTCTACAAGGAATAAACAAGTATTAAAGAAAGCCTGCCTATTTTATTCCAACACATACCAATAACTGTATTGATTTTGGCCATAGTGTATTTGAACAGAAATCTAATTTTCACAGTACAAAGAAATAAGCAAACACAATAACTTTTAAAACTGTACAGGTTTAGTCATGGGTAAATTTTTTTATAATTTCTGTGGAATTCAATAAAAATAACATGGCCATCTATAAACCCCCTGAACAGGTATATACATATAGTATGCACAATGAAAGCTGCAACAAATGCATGTTTGAAAGACATTAAATTGCATATTTACAAAACAATGCAACAACCATAAACAATCCACCACTTATATACATGCAAATGATTCAGACACATTTAAATGATGAAGAATGCATTACAATTGCTTCGTGGGCTGATCTGCAGGAGCCTCTATTCTCTGCACACACAGTCACGGAAAGGAATTTGAGAAATAAGGGTGACCTAAAGGCTGCTTAACAAACCATGTTAAAGTGCTAAGAAGTCTGACATTGCAAAGCACAGTTTTTATAATAAAAGATGTATTGGGTTAATATGGCTACTCACTGATGCTTCTCTGACTAAATATCTCAGCACATTAAATCAAAGATACTTACAATCCGTCTTAAGATAAACCAGCTTTCAGATTTCTAGGGAGGGAAAGAACCTGCTCCTGAGTGCAGAAAGATCTTTGAAGTCACTATTCTGAGCTCAGCCCAAGTGTGATAGGAAACTAAACATACTTTCAAAAATTCAGCATACTGTTGAAGGGGCTAGGCATCTGTAGCGTTATTTTAAAATGAAGCTGACTGAAGATTGCATAGACCGAGATCAATTATTCTGAGACGGGATAAAAGCAGTGCCAATAATATCTTGTGTAGCTAAAATAATTGAAGCAAGAACAGATTAAGAGAGAAAATGTTGTGTTTGCTACCTTAAAAGAATTGATACAGTTTCATTATAGTCTGCAAGGTCATTGTCAATACATGCATCTGGAAAAAAAAACACTCGCTTCTATATTAAAATATATTTACATTAAAAAGCGAACCATTATACAGCTCGGCTTTTACAGTCCACTGGGAATAAATTAGCTACTCTGACTGTAATCAGTCTACATCAAAATAGTTTTTAGGCATATGCAGGGACTGGTTATAGTGCACACACAAAACCATTGAAATAAACTACTCCTAAACATTCAAGTCCATATATATATACATATATTGTGAAAGAAAAAAAAAAAGCAGAATCACGTGCCTGTAAGGAGCATAATCATGTTATACTGCTTTTATTGCTGAAAATGTAGTCCAAGCAAAGGAAAAGGGGTGGGGGTGGGGGAGAGATCCTCCTGCAACCCAAACAAACTTAGCAAATACAAAATGAAAACCAACATCAATTTCATTGCAGACAAACCCAGTCACACAGATTAAGCAAGTACAATACTGGCATGTCTTATCTCTGACCACAGGAGGAGGGTAGACAGATTCTACAGGATGAAGAAATTCAGACTATGTAATAGGCAGAATCAATTGTTACCTGCCTCAATCAATGCAGCTCCACTTTCACTGTTCAGCAGCTCACAAATAATTAAAGTTATCCTGGACAAAAACCCTCATCTGTAATGACTAGCTAACCGCCACCATGACAAACTTCAAAGTCAGTGATATCAATCTGAATTCAATAGTGTGGAACTGGGTAGAGCTGATGAATAAGTATGAGTCTTACCCTGATGGTCCATGCACGCACTTCGTCGGGGCCTGCAGTGAAAAAGTATTCTAGCTGGAGTGCTGCATAGCCAGCCTTAATGATCTTTGGTAAAGCACTAAAAGAAAATGAAACAAGTCTGTTCAACTTATACATAAGAGAAGAGGGGGGAAAAGAGACCTTGAATGTCTCAGGCATATTCCCATTTTTTGGGGGAGGGAATATTGCTGAACCTTCCTTCTCATTAGTACTTGTATGCATATTGGTAATTGCAAGAGGCTCTTCTGGGAAAGAGAGCGTATGAAATGCAAGTCCAGGAATTGTGGGCTGGTGTGGCTTGTAATCTTGGAAAATGCAGAAAGGATTATTTCAGATTCCACAAGGGTTCTTTTTCGGGAACCCTTATGTTTTGAGATCACCGTTTTTTGACCAACTTAAAATATTGAAATAACCCACTGCTGCTTCTCAGAGGATGTAACTGCAACAATAAAAAACCAGCATTTTCCTTTTCAGCCTCCTTCTGGCAGAGGATGACCATAGAATTGGGCGATCATTTCTTTGGGGGGGATATATATATATATATATATATATACACAACTAATATCTATGTTATAATTAAAACACTGTACTGAGATGACAGATGACAGTTAAAAACTTAATTTCAAATAAATCTTTTCACTCTGTCTCATGGTAAAGAAAGGAGAAGATTCCCTCTTTATAATGGTAATTACTCTGTCATTTATTATTCTATCAGCGCAAGCAATTAAATTACTGCAAGGAAATAGTTGATAATAAAGTGTAGGGAAAATGAATGCTAATTAACCTTTGTGTCATGTTCTCTTCCAGATACTTCTGCTTCTCTTCAGCACTCATTTCTTGCAACTTGAGTTCCAAGGCCCCACTAAAAGGAATGACCAAGGCACCTGGGTCTTGCTTGTCCACCCACTCTTTAATTTTTATCAACCTGCAGACAAAAAAGGGCACAACATTATCTTGTAGTGCATGCATGACTGTACCACATTCATTATGATCAGGTAGGCATACATATTCATAAGACTTGCACGGTTTTATGATGCCATTTTTTTGTGTATTGCTTTCCAAGGTCAAGGCATTAACAGTCAGCAATTGCTTCAGGTGTACTCCATTAATATTTTACCTTTATCTTGCTTTTATTCTTGCACATTATAAACTGTGTGAAACATGAATAGATTTTTAAATGGGCTTAAAATTAGGCTGGGGTTTAAAATGAACACACATTAGAGAAGCCAGCTTGAAATACACTTGGGAGAGTTTTCAAACTTTGGGTTTCTTTCTTTTATCCAAGTGGAACTTTCTAAGTACTATATGCATTGGGGGGGGGGGGAGACCCAAAAAGGCCAGTTTTGATCAATTGTATTTTTATTATTTCATCAGCCATGAGTCAGAAACAGAGAAACAGTAAGAATTAACTGGTGCACTATCAAACAAATTAACATTTGCATTCTGTCACATTATACAGTTGATAACAAATTCCAGGTCACGTGATTCTCCTACAATTGCCTGCCCATCTATTTATTTCTACGTAGCAAATCTCTTTAAAGAATACTTCCAAAACAGTCCCATGCGTCAAAGAATTATTCCCAAGCAGTCCCATTTTAGCAATTCTTAAGTAACAAGAGCACATGCACTATTATTTGTAGTGAGCATTTCTGACAAAGTTAGACTTGACAAACTCTTTCTTGTAAAGTTATGTTTAGAGCTTGCAACAAAATGTTGCAGTGCGTGAACTACCTACCCAGGATCCAATAAGCTAATAATACCCTCTTTCAAGTTACTCTCTTCCATTTTGTCACTCTGGGGCTACTAAATCTGAGCTGCAAAAATCTAGGCAACCAATACATAAATAAAACCCTATTTGCTGTCACTCTTTCCCCAACCCTCATGTTTCTATTGTCCTTTTTAAGAATTAAGTACATAACCACTTGCTTTTGAATCTATTCAGCCCATACTGGGCTGATTTGAGGAGGATTTTTTCTTATGCTACATCTGACATAACATCTCCCTCTGGCTGGCTACAGAAGGTTCCACAACATGAGAATGAGTAAACAGGAATATTTTAAAGGAGCATTAGTAAACAGGAGTATTTTAAGGGAATAGCGTATGTCTACATATTTTGCAAAATATTTTCAAACATCAAAACATACCGGTTATGTTCTTATATGACAAGAATAAACAAAAATAGTCATGATTAGCACATTAAAACATACATAGAAAAGTAAGTATTCAGAAACATATTTGTGTACAATTTTTGTTTACTAGTACTATAGGGGTCAAAAGAGTTTTTAAAAGATTTTTAAAAATGCTGGCACACAATTAATCTTCTTAGACACACTTCATTCTTCTCCAAACAAAGACATCTAATATGAAAACCCATAGTTATAAACAGTCCATAGTTATAAACAGAGCAGTAGCTCATTGCCAGTTTATCTTTATCTATGTCCAATAGTGAAAATGGAATCTGTTGACCATATATTTCTCTTGCATTATTTATTCATTTTGGGCTAGGGACTTAATTAAACCGAGAATATTCCATTGGTAATACACAGTTCTGCTTAAGAACTGTTAAGTTTATACAGTGGTAATTTGATACCCAACTACTTTGAAACTCAACCCAATACTCATAGTTTGTTTGGTACTCGATGCAAGAACTTGTCGGTGGCAGCTGCCTTGTGACTCACTATATTATTCCTTATGGGAAAAATTTGTTTGGTATTCATTGTTCATCGCATCTCCTGGAACCAATTAACGATGAGTACCGAGGTACCACTGTATATAAACCTTATAAATAGACATTTTGTCATGGGTCACACTTCCCATGCTGTCCATTTTTTAAGCACACCCATTAAATCATTTCAAAAATTCAAATGTGTTAACAGTGCAGGAAGATATTACCCATGATTTTAAGGTAAGATAAGGTAAGGTAAGGTAAGGAAACCTTTATTGTCATTTTTTTTAACTGTAAGCATACTTGCACACGTTAAAAATTAAATTCTGTTGCCTGCTCTCAAAAGAAAGCACTGAAAGTTGATGGCTAGAACATTTTAACATATTTATAGACAAATGAGTGCCTGCACCATTTGTGGTAATTTGGATAAGAGCTTTGGACAACAGGTAAATCTTAACAGGAAACAAGAATCGGTACCAGCTTTGTAAGACTGGTGATCACCTAATGGTAAAAGGGAGAATTCGGGTCCTGTTGCCCTTACTAACTAATATTATGCTGCAGTGGCAGAGACAATTTGACCTAAATTTGTTCAGTAGTCAGGATCTAGCACTGTGCATACTTAAGTTAGCAATTCTGATCAGGAAGTAGTTGCTGAAGTAACCATTTCTGTTTCTTCTTCACATTGTGTGATTACCACAGCTCAAGATGCTATTGCAAACAATTTACTGGGTGATTTTACAGTCATTACATTATGCACAAAGTGCTATAGCTTTTGTTTGCGGCACTGTGAAAAATAGCTATTTGTTCATCATATACTGGTTGAACTCTACAGGATTCACAACAGAGAAGAATACGGCAAATCACAACATACGTTGCATTTTCAAACACAGAACCACTCACTATTCAAAGTCAATCTATGTTTAACTGAAATACAGCTGTAACCAAGCCCTTTCTGCATGCTGCACATTGATTTGAGATCATCATCACCCTTGCACAGCACTAAGATATTGTGGGGCTTCTGGTCATCCTGAAAAGCTAAGTCAATTCATTCTACAAATTAATCAACCCAGCTCCCAAACCAGAGGAAATCCTGCAATGACAACTGTACAGTGCTTCCTTTGGTACAGGAGGGAGGGGGTCGGGCAAGCCAGCAGCTGAATGGAAAGAACTCCACTTACACTTGGGATCTATGAACGATACAAAACTGCGAGCCATATGTAATATATGAATTTAAGGTGTGTGGTATTTCAATACTTAGACCTTTCATTTTGTGGTTTTCAGACTATGGCTAAAGCTATTTTGGCAATACGAATTGAAACTCTGGCGTGCAATTCTTTAAATAATCAATGCAAACGTCAAAATAAATGAAACCACAAGTTCATCAACTCTCATTTGTCAAAGAGAATAGCAGGGGATCAAAGCTATTATGAGATTAATTGTACGCCCGCTGAGTAGGGTTTAGAGACCAAGAATACAAAAAAGTTCTTTCAAGAGTTTTCTATTTCATGGTTTCACAAGTGCATTACATAATGCTGTGCAAAAACGTCAAACCATGTTTTCCATTTTAATGTTTTTTGTGCCATATCCCACCCCTGCAAGAAGAACACAGTTGCTACAATTATTTTAATTTATGTATATATAGTTAGTAGATGATACTCAACGTCATCGCTGTGGTGGCGGTTGACACCCCCAGACTTATGGTCATGGGGGATTTCAACCTGCCGTCCGTGGGTGATACGTCTGAGGTGGCTCGGGAGTTCATGGCTTCCATGACAGCTATGGACCTGGCCCAGTTAATTCATGGCCCTACCCACACGGGGGGAAACACACTGGATCTGGTTTTTGTCTCTGGACAGTGGTTGAGTGATCTTGAGATAGGGGATATAGTCATCGAGCCCTTGTCATGGTTGGATCACTCTCTCCTTCGTCTTGACCTTCGAACCGCTACACCCCGCCGCAGGGAGGCGGAGCCGGTAAGATGGTTCCGCCCCAGGCGCCTGATGGAGCCTGATAGGTTCCAGATGGAGCTTGGGCCATTCCCTGAGGCTCTGGCACACACCTCGACTGGAGACCTAGTGGCCGCCTGGGATAAGGCGGCTGCTGGGGCTCTGGATCAGGTCATGCCTTTGCGGCCTCTGACCCAGCGCTGATCTCACCTGGCTCCTTGGTTCACTGAGGAGCTAAGGGAAATGAAGTGCCAGAAAAGACGCCTAGAGAGTAGTTGGAGAGCCAGTCTTTCTGAATCCGACCGGACACTGGTAAGATCTCATATTAAGAATTACCTAGTGGCAATAAAAGCAGCAAAACATGTTTATTTTGCTGCTCTTATTGCGTCATCAAATAACCGCCCGGCCGCCCTGTTTAGGGTGACCCGCTCCCTGCTCCACCAGGAAGCACGGGAGGACCCCTTGGAGGGTAGAGCCAAGGACTTTGTTCAGTATCTGCATGACAAAATCACTCAGATTTGGGAAGACCTGGACTCCGACTGGGTAGTTCCAGGGGGGATGACTGAGGCTGGTCTTGAGAAGGTTATCTGGGATGAGTTTGATCCTGTGACTCCTGATGACGTGGACAGGATTCTGGGTAGACTGAATGCAACATGTTTGTTGGACCCGTGTCCCTCCTGGTTAGTGATGGCTTCCTGGGAGGTGACGCGAGGGTGGTTCCAGGGGATTATAAATGCTTCATTGGGTAGGGTGACTTCCCCGCTGCCTTGAAAGAGGCGGTGGTGAGGCCTCTCCTCAAGAAGCCTTCCCTGGACCCAGCAGTGTTGGCTAATGATCGTCCGGTCTCCAACCTTCGCTTTGTGGCGAAGGTTGTCGAGAGTGTGGTTGCACGACAGTTGCCCTGGCACCTGGATGAAACGGCATATCTGGATCCGTTCCAGTCGGGCTTCAGGTCTGTGCACAGCACGGAAACGGTATTGGTCGCGTTGGTTGATGATCTTTGGAGGGCTCGGGACAGGGGTTCTTCCTCTGTCCTGGTCCTATTAGATCTCTCAGCGGCTTTTGATACCATTGACCATGGTATCATGCTGCACCGGTTGGAAGAGTTAGGGGTGGGGGGCACTGTGTTGCGGTGGTTCTCCTCCTTTCTCTCCGACCAGTTGCAGTCTGTGTTGCCAGGGGGGCAGAGGTCAACCCCGAGGCCCCTCATATGTGGGGTGCCACAAGGGTTGGTCCTCTTGCCCCTTTTGTTCAACATTTATGTAAAGCCACTGGGCGAGATCATCTGTGGTTTCGGGGTGAAATACTACCAGTACGCTGACGACACTCAGCTGTACATCTCCACCCCGGACCACCCCAACGATGCCCTTGAAGTGATGTCCCG